CGCATTCTGCAAGAAGGTATTAATCAATGATTGGATCTTATAAGGCAAGCGTTGATGTGGAAACTGAGCTCCAGAGAAAAACCGATACCCAGTTAGGTCTTGTTAAAAAAGAAGGTTCGTGAGAGCTGCCAATGCCCGAACTTATATCCCCGAGCGTCGTTGACAAGCATCATTTTAGGGAAGTAGCTCAACAGCCAGCTAAATCTAAGCTACACTTGGTCAGTTTTAAATCTTGAGTGGCTACCAACTGGAAACAAACCGAAAACTTTCGTTTCAGTTTCCAGTATATCTGCACGTTTATTTAGAGTGGCTGGGTTCGCCGTGAGGCAGGCATTTTACATAACGATGCGAAAGCAATAACCAATAAGCGAACTGCAAAATTATTGAGAAAGAGAGTGTTAAGGACGAAGTAGGTTTTGTTGTGAAAAGACATCCAAATATTTTGAAAAGCTTTCCTTAACTTGCTTATAAGTTTTTAGAATAAGTAGCCACCTAGAGGACAACGAAGAAAAATAAATAGAGGTTTTCCGGTGGCAATTTCAGTCCAATACCTTTGTTTCGGCCTCACCACACGAGGCATAAGGTATAACTGACATTGACACGCCAACATATAGCAAGTAACATTCCTGAAGCCATGTCTAATTGGATGGGATAACTTCGGTGAATGTTTTCGTAATACTGCATGGACTAGAATGAGATTCGGCCGCCGACAGTAGAAGGCAACAGGCATACGAAACATCTAAAAAGGGATTTTGTTCACTAATTCGAACGCGAAGAATAACAGGATGATGCCGAAGGATAACAGGAAGTATACGGGCATCTACGTATCGACAAATGACGGGTAGATAAGTATCGTGAGAAAGTAAACATCGACTGTAATACAAGAACATAAAATATCGTTAGAAAGGCATTTAACATAAAAAGATACTAACGAATTGAAAGTCGTTGTAAAACTGTTACAGCAAAAAATGGCATGTCATTGAGAGGGAGGTGAAGTGATTCAGGATTGAGAAATGGTCGCACCTGAAATTCACACCACACTAACTTCCGTTTGTTAATTAGGCGGTCATTTTCGACCTTTATACTGGGTCACGATCCAAGCTCCATATAAGAAGTTGTGAATGATCCTTACTTTTTTAGGAATACTGACCAGAAGCGCAATTGGACGCTGTGCGGCCTCAGCCCTTTTGTATAAAACGAAAAGAGGGCAACGAATATGAGGACACGTTGTAGAACGCCACCCGTTATTTGGAATAAGGCTAAATTTAAGGCTGTCATGATAGGAAAATTAGCATTGAGGAGAGAGCCAATCTGTAGGTCGTATAGCCAGGTCGCATGGAAGCGCACTGAAAGCAAAAAGACAATCCGGAAATGCACGCGCAATGGTTAACAAACATTGTTTTAGCGGCTGCAGACATAGTAGACTATCAGAGTAGTGTCGTAAACAGTTAAACGTCAAAGAAACCATAAGATAGCGTCTAGACAAACTTTTTTCAATAAGCTACCAAGGGTTAGACTGGCAAATAAGTAGATGGCAAAATTTAAGACTAAAGTCATTTGACATTTTAGAAGTAGAGGTGTTTCTGACCACACGCGAAGAATCTGAAATTTGGGGTATCATCGAAGAACGCGATAAAAGGATGACTTTCAACGAGTGCTTCCTAAACGGGGCAGAATTTGGGGGGAATGATGCGTGGCAGACACAACAGTAGTTGAACACTAGGTCATTAAAATATCATTCTAAGCCACAATCCTCAAAACATACCGAAACACAATTCATGATAGTGACAACAAAAAGTCACTTAAAAATCCAACGATCTCGTTGGAAAGAATCGTGCTTGCTCCGTTTTTCAAATTAGACTTAATCTTCAATCGGCCACATCTACAACTTGCAAAGGACATAGTAGTCGTATGAATAAAGAACTATCTGAGTCGTCTTTGGCCACTGATTGAGACAATCCTCCCCAATATCGCACTACTAGCTTGTTAATATAGGAAAACCGTTTTAGAAGTTTTTGCTGCTCAATCGGACGGTTAACATAATTCTAATTAAATTAATTAAACTTCTGAATGCCGCAGTTGGCAACTGCTGACATGATTAAGTGCCTCGGTCCAGAATGATGTACGATCCAGTGATTAAGTACACAACATATTATATGACGAAAGTAAATCCGCAATCAACTTTATGCACCATTTCTTACGGTAACATATGTCTGATCCTTCATATCGCCTGGTATGTTGCAACTGATTAATTTACGAAAAAATCTCGAAATTCGTTTATATTTGACTTTGAACTTGACATTTAGATATTTTAAAAATAAATGCTTCATTTGTCACACCGTTAAAGCAGTTTCCACGCCTATGCTTGCCGCCTTGATTAACGCGCTGTGACTGGTTCAAAAAGCAGTAGTTTGTGAATATGCCAGTGGCCTATTTTCATTGCGACAACAAGTAAGGTTCTTATTTCCGAACAGGAGCTCAGCTATGAGGTTCGTTGCTTTCGGCAGCCGCAACTTCCACCGTTCAGACGTTATTCCACACTCAGCATGATCGACAATTTATTTGCCGTGGATCTGTCCAGCGCGCATTCTTTGATTGAAACACTGTCACTCGCGGAAACCTGAATGGGAGACTAGTTAATGTTGCCAGCCTAACATAATATTTGCAACGCGATACGAAAAACGTACTATAAATTCTCAAGCATTCGTCGATACAAACGAAAGGGCGGGTTCCAGAAAGCAGATGCAAAGGATGAGATTCACTCGCTGGAACAAGAATTTTATTCGCTCAATGTTTGGGTTTATTCCCAAACTCATCAGAGGAGAGGGCATTATATAAAGGTGGCGAGTTCATAGCATGTACAAAATTAATAGAATGTGGTTACTGCGTTACTGCACAAATACTATAATTGGCAGCTCTTACACACAGCAGACTCACTCTCAATGCGATAATGGTTAGGTCACTAGCGTCCTAGACAGAATTGCTGCAATTTACTTACTGGCGTTGGTTGTTGATTATACCTCCTCCAGCGTTCTCCATCTCTAAGCGCTCCCTTTTTTCGCTTCCAGATATACTTTCCTCTGGAATAACCTTCCAATAAATATAAGATCTTCAGAAAATCTACACACCTTTAAGAGAAGGCCACGCCTTTATCTGAATACTGACTCGATTAAACTTTTATTTTCCTCATCCTTCCCAGACTACTTTTTCTATGACACTGAGAAAGGGCCACCGGGAATTAAGTAGGCCGTCATTAAATTTCCGTATCTGTTCACATTTCCTTCCTTTGTGAGTAGTCTCGCTTCCTAAGATCCCTCACCAGAAATGTTAATTTTTCCAATTTTTCAGTTCATGCATCGTGTCCTCACAGAATGCGCTCCATCGACGCTCTTGGCGAAACCTTCTGTATTCGCCATATACCAGTAGTCTAGTCGCATCTCCCTTGCCCCATCCGCGGATGGACTCGGATGAATGTAACCAACCGCATCTGCGTTCCTATCGCCTCGAGACTGGTTTTCAATTTCGCCACTTATTTGTCTTATTCAAGGCCACATACAGGTCAGTCCTGACCGACCCGCCTACTTACCCCTCCATGAAATCCGTTATACAATGCCATACACAGCTGACATTTTTTTCGGTCCTGACGATGTCCGAATATAATCCATTCAATACAGCAACATGCAGGCCAGTCCTGCCCGCATTTTTCTGTTTCTACTTTTTTCGAGAGGTTTTTTTCTCCTGTAAAATTAATCCAATCAGTTTTAAGTTTTGACATGGAGTTTTTTTTCACCCCTCGCTTATCATTTTTCTTAACGGACTTCTAATTCAAAAAAACTATGTATTGCACTTTGTACAGATTTTGCCTACCTCGTCTAAAATTCGCATGCAAATTTATTTTTACTTGCTTTGATGGGACCCCGACGGGTCTTTAATAATAATTATAGTGATATTAATGGAATATACCCTACTTTTGTTCTATTGTCATTGAATTCTAGGTCTTCGCTACTGTCTAATTAGAGAATGATATTTCTGTTGCGCGTACAACCTCTAATGTCATCCAACGGCACGATTTATGTGGTCTTTGTAAAACTCTTCTTGTTTGTCAAGAGTAAGTCGCCATCCTAGTTTAGTCCGCGCGTCCTATACATTTATAAGCACCGGGTGACTCTAAGCGAGAAATTTCCACTAGCGTCCGCTAATAGGGTCTGTTGTCCTGTACCGACCCAGTAGATCTTGGGAAACAAACCCCTTGTTTTAATAAATGATCGCTCTTTTGTAAATCGATCATGATGGCTGTACGCTTTGGGGTTATAATCTGACGATCAACAACCTAATAAGCCCCAGATTTCTCCATTTTTCTACTGTTCGTTTGCCGTTCATATATGTACCTTTAGTTAGTTGGCTAGTTCGACTACCTATCAAGGTAATAGCATGTCACGCTCCCATAATCTGTGTCTCTGCTCCATGGCTGTCGCTTCACCATCAACATTTGTTATGTGTGTGTGGTGTCTATTACCTGAACGATGGACTCTTAAGGAAGGAATGACCACGGACTGAATTCGGTAACGAGGAGACGGAAGTTACATTCTAGCCCAAGTAATTCCAATTTTACCCGACCCCAGATAGGCGGAACGTTACAGTCCAGCCACGTCAATAAAATGGGACTGTAGGTATGGGTGGAGATGTATAACAACTCACCGCAACCCTTCCAGATCTGGGCTATGTTGCCGGGAAACGCTGATTTAAAAATATTCCTACCAGCATGGGTGTACAGATACGTTTTTACGAGCTTAACAGAAACTATCGACAAGTTCTCTAAACTAGTAATGTTTACGACCTAATGAGTAGTCGGGTATACTCATTTTCCATGTCCCATGGACACGGACTTTTAATCGGTCAGCGGCATCTACTTAACCAATGCGCTTTAGGCCGGGTAAACCGCGTTTATTAAAAGTCCGGTTGTCTGGACCGATATTGGTTTACACCCAGTATTCTACAAAATGCTTCAAAGGTGTCGCACCTTCATGTTTGATTGTGATGGTATCCTCAGTCACATTTAACACTTTTCCCGTCAGGCACACTATGGACTCCGTCTGGTCTAATACCGGGAGCGGCCGATTTGGTTGGCTACTTGAAAAAGACTGGGAGACAATGCCTCTTGATCACAAACAATAGTTCAAAATCAGTCGAGCGTAATTATGAAGTGTGCTGCAAGTTGGGCTTGCCCGTCGACAAGGTAGATGGTATTCTTTAATTACTGTCGGTAGTCAGATATTATATGCACAGCCAATGTTGCTGCATATTATTTTTCAAAAAAGGGTATTCGCGGGCCCGTTTACGTAATAGGGCGAGAAGGTCTTGCCCACGAATTCGACAAAGTCGGAATTTCGTATTTCGGTATTGGCGTAAGTGGTTTATTTCGCATATACTTGTTTATTTTTTGTAGGAGGAGCCAACAAAGGTTAAAGAATTTGACCCGTCAACTTTGGACCATCGAGTAAGTTAATGCGCGTTTTCTCCAGCTCGGCAGACACAAGCTGTTTTAGTGGGATACGATCCTTTTTTTAACTACGTTAAGCTGATGAAAGCAGCCACTCTTATTGCTAGAGGATGCCAGTTTTGCGCTACCAACGAGGATGCCCAACTGCCAGCATTCGGTTACGTGTGTCCAGGTAACGGTCATCCACACTCAACGCTCTGCCCCTTGTCGCATTTACACAAAACTACTCGACAACCCCTTTATGTTTGTAAATTAGCGTACGCATTCGACTTTTTAAAAAAGCGACGACATTTTTTCTCATGCAGTATCTATACTTCAAAAGACGGTGGTTCCGTTTGATGTAGAAAGTGTCTGCACATCGATACTCAAATTTGACTTTACTCGGTGAAACAAGGCAGTTTGTCTGAACTACGCCATGTACATCTTGGAGTCGATCGTTGTAGATACACTGAAAACTAGTTGTGATGTTTTTGGGAAATTTTGCGTATAATTTCCAGTCCCCTTTAATTCATTGTCTTAATTATAAAATTAACTATAAACACATGTGCCGCCCTCAAGCCTACTTGGATCATTTTGCTATTGATAGTAATTCTGACCTCAGTAGCCTCCACCTGTATGAGCTTCACTTTCCAAACTTATTAGGGGAAGTACATTCAGGTAGCCAAGACCAAGATCAAACGCACGTCAGTGTTCCTCTAGTGAGATCTCAGACAACGCTTTATATCCTAAGCTTCTATCCAGGGACGTTGTGAGAATGCAGATCATCAATATTGATTAAGACAATTGCACTACCACCATCATCAGCAAGTCTTTGCCGGTAACCCTGGTGCTTTTGGGAAAACAGAGCAGAATACAGGCGTGTACCATTATGAAACCTATTTACTTTGTAAAAGTGTTTGTCAAGAATGGACGTATTTGATAGTGTGTCCAGTTTCTGTGTAAGGCTTCACACTTCTAGTGCCGACCTTGCCAGTGTCCTCTCGGTCTCCGAATGAGGTTTTTACATTCACTGTCTAAGTCAGTTAGTGTAAATAACGGAAGTCGAGACCTAATACATGTTTGGGTGTCGTTTTAAGTCGGAATACCGCCCGGTTAATGGAATATCTCCCACCTTTCTTTTGGCGTGACGGTTTGTTAATCCTGACACCACCGCTTCCTATTTTGAATCTTTACATAACGTTTACATGTCGACTTATCCACTACCTTCGATTTTAGGCACTGGCTCATTGGTTGCTGCAGTCCGCGTTGCATCTGGCAAAGAACCGGTAATTTTTGGGAAGCCTAACAAGACCATTTTCGACTTCATTGTTGAGACTCGAAACATAACTCCCGAGCAAACTATCATGATTGGGGACCGGTAAGCCCGTAACTATTATTTTAAACTCATATACTGAAATCTGTTCACGTTGTGTGATCGAAGTTCAGTAACTCAATCGTAACCGAACAAGTGTAGAGCTGCAGAGCGCTAGCAGTCTGTTCTTCTCCACTCTAAATGCTATCAAGCATCAAGGATACTTAAGTGATTAAGGATTTCAGCTAGTTAAACTATTTACCGGACACGATTGTCAATATTCGACGAAGTTCATGTTGAGCGATGTAACATTTGATTCTCCTTCATCCACTGTGTACTGTAATACCCACTTTGGTGCGTTAGAACTTTCCACTCTTCCAAATTTTTCTTTTGGTCGTTACCCTCACCTGTGTGCTCTCCCAACGTAAGTTAAGCTATTTTCATGGCTAGGGTGCTGAACTAGACATTTACTTCCGAGTCTAGCGCTACTTTTAGCAAAAACAATGAGTACAGCTTATCTCCCAAATGTCTGGCACGTGCCCCTTTCCTGTGACCGGCAAACTCTCTCGAAACTTTTATACAACCTAGTTCTGTGTTCTATCGGACTTCCAGCACGTCCATGCATTCAGTTATTGTGGCCACATGGGCAGATCGCGATGCAAACGCATGATATGCCTTAAGAGTGGTGGCTAATCGATGCGACACTTCTTTATTTAAAAAAGCATCTTCCCTGAGCAACAGTTCTGCGTTGCGCGGATGTTTCATATCGGATTGAAAGCATTAGCAGTGGACGTCCTACTGGCTAACTACTAAACTTGTATTTGCCGGTTTATTTAATTGCATCTGTCAACGAAGATAACCTCATACCGTGGTCCGTGGACGGGTTAGGACTCGCGTCCACATGTGCAACTCATTTACTGAAGTTTGGGGGTTCGACCCGTCGTCCCAACTGAGGACATAGATCGAACAGCTTTCTGGTAGATGTAGCTCTAAATAATTGTTGAACAACACCCTCAGATTCTGTCCCGTTTTGCATCTGCGTCTTGTGCCTCCAAACCAAAACGTCCCTGTGTGCATGATTGAGCCCTAAGGTATACGAGTAACTGACTTCGCCGACTCCTCGTCCTGTGTAACTGTCATCTTTTCAACGGCCCAATAGATACTCCACCTGCTTCGTCGTCGTTCTAGTTCTCACAGCAGTAGATCAAATCTTCATCCGGCTAGTAGTACTTTTACTAGGTTTTTGAAGCGCACAAAGTGCAGCCCTTTACAAAGCGCGACCTGGTTATATGTCCTACAAGAGGTAACGTCACTGGCATCGTGAAAACTGTATACGTTTACGCTTTTTTGTTTCTCAACTCTGCGCAGACTCGACACAGATATCCTCTTCGCCAATAATTTCGGCCTACACTCCGCCGCCGTGATGACTGGGGTGACAGATGACGAGACGCTGGACAAAGCCCGCCGTGCCCAAGGCAAGGAACGCCTCCTGCCCGACATCGTTTACCCCTCTGTAATGGACCTTTATAAGCAACTGGTGGATTTGGACAAGAACCTCTACTAGCAGATTCTTCCCCTTCGCGCTCATTTGTCTGCGCCGACCTACTTTGTACTATCAGTCTTTCGGAAGGACAAAACCCGTATTGACAAGCGCCATCGCTAAATTGTACCTCAGCTTCTACAGTTCATTTTTATTTATTTACCAGCTAGCGCAATTTCCCCCTTGGTCCTTTTTCTCGCCCATCAACAATTCTCAAGAAATGAATTGCCATGGTAACCGTCTCAGGACAGCATGGTCAATAAAAAATACTTTACTGTAGGACTTATTTCTTCGGGCGCATAACTGAGTATTCCAAAGATGTTTAGGGCGAGGGGGAACGTAGGAAGAACCGAAGATGCCTAAATGAAAGAGGGATAAGACGTGTGCGCCCTTCGCTTTGGCACCAAAGGCGAGCGAGAGAAGCTGGCTTGCTGCATACACACAAGAAATTACAATATAAAGTGAGTGGGTCGCCGATTAAATAACGCAGTCAGTGCATGGCGTTTTTGCCAGCAAAAAATAGACTTCCAAAAAAGTGGCGCCTTAAGGACACGTTTGCAGGGGTCGTTGCGGTTAATGGAAAGCTGATCAAAAGAAGTTAGTATATACATGAGTGGGAGGGCGTAAACAGCAGTGGGACAGTGGTTCCGGCCCGTCTTTTACTGTCGTTCGCTCTGGTAGAACGTAAGGATTGTTTTTGCAGCGCTGGCGATTTCATGGGCAAAGGTGATGAGTGGATTAGCTTCCGGTTTGCTGGTGTCTTCCGGTTGCGGCTTGCCAAGTCGTTCACAGTGAAGTCGTAGCTTTTGCGAGTTTGACATGAGAGTGCTAAGAGCCGTGGCCACTGTTAGTTGACATCTACTGATTGGCGGAAAAAGCATAACTAGGTCTTGCACTGCAAGCTGAATAAGCTGGGAAGAACGCACAAGCTCTCCAGGTCGTCTCGCGTTGGTTGCCTGCGCAGAAAAAATGAGAGGCGCCAGTAAAATTTCAAAGGCTGAAATAAATCTTGAGGCCTTCCTTATTCCAGCTAAGTCCGAGTTTGCAGGTAACATTACGATTTAATCATAACAGTTGTGCTTCAACAGCATGCAAGAACGCAAATGAATACCTGTGTAGGACATTCTACACTGCTCACGAATGCCAAGCACGCCTAACATTGATGCCTGGGGTAGTCAGATAAGAATGTTTAATTGACAAGATGGGTAGAAGGGATTCCGCGTTCAATGTTCGGACTTGGTGACGCAACATTCAGGCGTGATAACTACTTAAGGAGGAGTGGTCCTGTCTGTAATTGAAAGAAGAAATCGAAGCGACCACTCCGTAACACAGCGATTTATTGTTGGACGTGGTCATTCAGAAGGCTAAATGGAAGCAACGAAACGTGCTCTTCTGCGCTACAGAAAATATGCGCTCCGGAGTATAACAGGCCCAGCATGAAGACGGTGCAGTGACCTCAGTCTACCGGGAGTCAAACTCGGGGCCATTCTAATACTTACAGAATGACTACATGGATGAACGGCACTGGTTGACGCATTTTCTGAATAGGTAATGCGCTAACCACGAGCAATTGCGGCAAGACTCGAGAAGCAATGATGAAGATCAAACCTCCCAGCCATCGTGCATGTGAATGCGCGACAACCACATCATCTAAACACCGTATTTGCTGTGTACCACTTTGTTTCTGAGTATGGATTCGAGTAGGAATTCGAAACAGTGACGAATAAGTCGTGTGACAATCATCGAATCTATCTACTGAAGCCTCTATTAAAATGCCTCAAGATCGGAAAATAAGTGACTGAGTCCCAGGGCCGCACTGTTAAAACGAACGCATACAGGACGGCGGTGGAGGAGGAGAGCATCAAAAGCAGTCTGATATTTCTAACGTACCTTCACTACCAACGTAAATGTCAAGCCTGGATTAGCTCGGCCGGATACCTCCATGTCAATCACAACAACATCCAAAGCACTCTATCTGCTGTCCGAACTGCAAAAAACAGACCGCTGAGGACTGCCATTGTCGATTATGAACTACCGGATGTCTGAGAGATAGGGGGTGGTTGATAAGAAAGTGCAACTGAACAAAGCCGCAGCAAAAACTTATACAAAAGGCATCACGCTACCCCAGTGTGATATAAATGGCCACAAGCGCGTGTGCGCATGCACTAAGTCCCACGGCAACACACTGTGCGGCGGTGCAACACCGTGACAAATACCCTGTGCGTGTAAGCAAAGTGTGTGAGCGAGAAGGCTACCGACAAAACGAGGAAGACTGCAATGGCCTTTTTTTAACTCACCCCCATCAGTCAGATAGATCGGGTCCGACTGTTGAACAGACTACAGGTTCATGGGTGTAACTTGCGTAATTAGGCCAGTTTACGGGCATACAAAGATGATAATAGAGTCCGGAGGATGTCATTCATTAAGGATTCGGGGTAGAGGCGCAAGATCATGAAAGCGTTGTTGCCGTCGTCATCACAAGCAATAGCATTGGGGTCATCATTAAAAGTAGCATCGCCGTGGTTGATATGACAACCATGTACTGCATCGCCATCTTACTCATCACCGTCATTAAACTCCTATAGATTGAGCTAATCAGTCTACAGGCTGCAGGTGAATACCCTGACAATTTTAGAAAGTCATAAAACAAGGATAATATGATGGTGAGATGAGAAATCCAGACAATAAAGACGAGTTCTACGGAAAACATTGACCGAAGAGCTCAAGCAGCAAAGAAAGACTAACTTAGTAAAAATCACCGAACTGGGAAAGATGTAGGATTATGGCGGACTTGCATAGCGTTCAGTCATGACTACGGCTGGACAAAGTACTGTCCGATCCAGTGAACGGTGCCCAGAACTACGACTATGAATTAATCCCGCTGTCGACAAAGGGTGTGTCCATTGCGATCAGGTGGCCGTCCTCGTAGTATCTGAACCTCTTTCACAGAGTGCAAATAAAAGTTAACTAGCAAAACCAAACGCCCCACCCCAAGGAGTGAGAAGGCAGTGTTATTGGAAGGCAAATGATTAGGCCAGCAGACACCTGTCGTTGAACTAAGGCTCCGCATTAAATAGCAGCAATAATTTGTGGCGCACGAAAACTGAATTTCTATTACGAAAGTGCAAAATATATGGGTGAGCACTCATAAAAGAAGAATCAAATCTACTCACATCAAGTAGACCACGTATCCTAACTATGATGCATTCTACGCCACGAACGATTCGCTCGTAGGGCGGCTGTTTCCACTGTGGGGGTGAGCGCAGACCAGCTGGACTGTCCTGAGCCACGATGGCAGTGGTAGGCGGGCCTTGGAGGGCCGGCTGGGGCCCGCCAGTGGCGACATACTCTTCGGCATCGGAACTTCGGACAGGGGGGCGCGGACTAGCGCCAGCGCAGGCAGCAGCAGCTGAGGAGGGGGATGGATGCTGGGTCACGGGGATCGCAGTTGACCGTGCTACTCCACCGCTTGGTGTCTGAAGGGCGCGGTGATGAGTAGGACCGAGGAGAAGAGGAGCAGGACTGGGAGATCCGGTCTCATTCGGCGCCGTATAATCGTCGGGTAATTCGTTATCATCTAAAATTAGATTGTACGTATAAGTTTGAGCAGCCCTGGACACAAAACTGTCACGCTGAAACAAAGCGAGAAACAGTAGAGACTACAAAACCTGCGACGTTATTGCTTTCTTGTGTTCACAACATATTTGTTCCGGAAGAAATAATACCCCATGAACATCACGTCGATCAAATATTTCCGTCACAAACTGTGGGATACGCGTTCCTGTAGGCTTACTTTGCCCACTGATCGTCTGCGAATTTCTTTTTCAATTAGTAACATAATCGGACACCTGTATCGTCGAGAAAACAAGTCCTCCTGCTGACTTAGCCAACGACTACCGTCGGCGTCCAAGAATGGTGAAATATGCAACGGCCTGTGGCCCGTGATCCTTGAGAAGAAAGCGAAACGGCATAATAGCACGGCCTCTGGCGCGGGCCACCTCCAAGCGGGTGTCCACAAGCACGGTTCAACGATATTAACTGACCAGTAAACGGCATTATTACCTAAATTTGGGAAGCACAGACCATACCACAAACTACAGCAATGATGCCGTGTCGTTGTGTTAAATACATCTTGGCATTGGAGGACATGGCATCATCACCCGTTTTTACGCTTGTCTTCTTTAATTACTTCTGACGGCACTGCGGCATGCGGATAAGAAGGCTGCATTGTCCTCGGCTGGGCCGAGCAAGTCCGGTACCCCAAGTTGACAGGCCGTAGTGCTTAAAATACTCAGCGACCCACTGGATCTAGTTTAAGTCTCGGACGCTCGACCACCTGGAGCTGGCGTTACCACTAGCCAACGAAGTCTAATAGGTCAGAAATAGCCACTTCACGTCCCGAGTCTTTCTTGACTTTCACGATCATTGCTTGCTCCTTGCTACGTGACATCCCAAGTGAGCTCTAGCCTAGGAGCTCCAAATTAGGGTAGAAATGCCTATCTTTGTTCCACAGCCAATGAACACAGCTCTTCTGTTGGTTCGCCTCTTCTTTTGGCTCTAGTCACCGGCCAGCGGTCGGTACTGATGAATGATAGCATGACACCGAAATTACCTTGTCTGGTGTAAATTCGATACAACAGGACCGGACCTAAAGTGTACGTACGTGTACAGTAAACGATGAGACTTCTTTTTGGGTTCCCTGTCCAAATACGCAATCGACTAAATTCATCAACAAACGTTGGCGAACCATCCGAATTTTACAGTTTGTCGTCATTAGTTAAGTGCACAGTCTTGAATACACTGATGACGCCACCGAGTTAGCGGGGGTTTCCGCAGAAATACAGTATGCGAAGATGGCCATAAGTGGGCTTGAAAATTAATTTCCCGAACAAAGACGATCGCCTCATGCTTCTCCGTTGAATCAGCCAAATGAGCCAATTTGAAAGGGAAATAATCGAATTAACTAATGACGTGGGTGGACGCGTCAGGAGCCGACCTCGGGTGGTCTGCACAGCCGCTGTGTC